CTCTCTCTCTCTCTCTCTCTCTCTCTCTCTCTCTCTCTCTCGTTGGCCGATTCTAATTACCGAAGGGGCCCCACGGGACTTCTCGAGGAAGAAATTAAGCGGTCTCGCTCTTCTTACCCCGTTTTTAAAGCCGGTCTCGAGAGTGAATAGAGTGAAGCGGATGCGTGTGCTATCTGCGCGCGAGTGCGTACAGAAAACCGTACGCACTCCGTACGCCTCGCGCGGTTGTTGCACGTAGTTGTATCCGCCTTCGGCGAGATTCTACGTGGAATTGAAATTACATCGAAAATCGAAGTAAATGGAAATTTTCGGTTGATATAACGTCCACGTCCTTTCTTTCTCTCTAATTCGAAAATTCACCCCTCTGTGAGTAGAGTGAAGGTCTTGATGCCTCACATATGTTCTCGTTCTAGAAAAGTAGCAAAAGTGCTAAATTTAAGGACAATCGACGGTAGGTTGAGCTAGACTCGTTGGACGTGCCCGGTATATACTCGGTGTCGAGTTACTTCCAGCGCGATGGAAGATGGATGTACTACGGTTACACAGGAAGGAAACACTAGTGCCGTCGCCGCCGCCGCCGCCGCCGCCGCTCGGTATCCGCCGCGTCTCTCCTCTCCTTGCTCTCACTTTCCTCTCTCCCGCTCTAGAGCCTCGGCTCCTGGTCGACGACACAACGCTATGACACAACGGAGACGCGTTGCCGTAATAACGCGCGGTTACAAACGAGGGACGACTAGCGGCAATAGAGGCTGAATAGAACAATGAAAACGCGACGATTGTTCGCGGAACAACGGCCGGCCGACATAAGATTTGCCAAGTCACGTATATCTGTGACCTATCGCGCGAAATTAACGAAATAACGTTTACCATAAAAAGACCGTACTCGAAGAAGTGAATTTTAAGTACGTCACGATAGAACGCGTGGTTGCAAACGTGGACAAACAATCTCTGTTTATATTCCCTTTATATAATCTTTGTGGAAGTAGAATATTTGTGAAATGGAAAATAATTGCAACGATTAATCGGGAAAAGTACATAAAAAATATAATAAAATGTATAAGAGGTTTCGAATTTGATATGTTGTAGCCATGTTATTACAGACCTTAATAATAGCCGTTTAATAAGTTGGACGCAAAAGAAACTCCATGACTAAACACGATGCCGAAGGAAAATCGATTTACTCTTTTTCTTTCTCATTCTCTTCGCTTCTTGTTTCGAGAGAATTTTAAAGGGATAAAAATCAAGAGGTAGTTGACGAAAAAAAAAGAAGGAACAAGATGGAGGATGCCACGTCTCTGGTGAGTGTCACACTCAGGGACCGGAAGTGACTTCTCGACTGGTCTACGAGACATCGTGTCTCTCTCACGGGCCAGCTGGACCACACATGCCCACCCGACGACCATCCTGCCTTCTCTCTTAGGGCTTTAAGAACCCGCGCAATGCCGCGCCCACAGGACTAATTTTACGATAATTCTTTGCCATCTCGACTTTTTACGAGCGCGTGCGCGCAGGCACGCACTCGTATTCGATATGATATCATCTATAAAAAAAAAAAAAAAAAAGATAAAGAGAAAATTATGCTCACCGGCTGATTGATGCGTGCTGTTGTCCGCGTCGTGATAAGCCTCCACTATCAGCGAGAATGTACCCTGTGAACAGAAAAAGGGTTGCCTGAGTCTCGTGCGTTCCTCGAATAGAAACGAAAACACGACGATGTCGTGTTGCGTATCTCGGAAAGCGAAAATGCGAATTTTTGAGACAGATTTTAAAATGAAAGTAATTTAATTTCTCTTAATTCGATTTTGCAATCAAGCTTTAATGCCCGATAATTGAGCAGATGCGTCATTCATATTTTTTGACCGTGACTCGCGCGCACTTTCGAAATATAACGGTAACGCGAAAGAGGAAATATTTCCGTGGTGAAAGGGTTAATAACAAATTAAACGTTTCGCGGCGTGCTGCGTCACGTGCACACCTGCCACGCGTTGCCACGCGTCCGCCCGCCGGCAGAACGACGAGCGTGCACATCAAGTACGAACGAGGAGAAACGGTTACGCGTCACTGACAAAGGGAGGGACAGGGGACCCGCAGAAACACGAGAGAGGACTGAGGGAAGGGGTCGACACGCGTGAAAATCACCCCCTTTCGAGTTATCGTCGTGGCACGAGGAGAATCGCAACCCCATGGGGGTCAACTTCCATGACCACAACGATGTACCCTCGGTGTAAATCACGCTTCGCATTAAGATACACGTGCGCGCGTGCTAAGTGTACCGACACGTGGAACTACGACTGACGCGTGAAACAACATCATCTACAAAATGTCAATAAATAATTTACAAGTTCATCATAATCGATTTAATTCATATTTGCATATAATTTTTCATCGTTTTTTTCAAAAAATTTCGTCCATTGGCTAACGTGCTTCTGAAATTTTTATATCTTTACGTCTTGTACGTGTTTTTTAACAAAATAAAATCAAAGGTTACAAATTGTGAAGAAATTTAAATTTAAATTTCAAAATAGTCGAAGAACTCCCACATGAGAGAGGAAGTTGGGGAAACTTGAATGCCCGCTATGCACATGGTACTTTTTCGTACATAGCAACATTGAAGCTGAGGAGTACCAGATAGATATACCCGAACGGCTCGTAAATCTCATAATGATGCTCTCTCTCTCTCTCTCGTCGAGAAACTACTACCGAATCGTCACCTCGGTTGCAAGTCGCGACGGGACATGACGTTACCGTGTAACACACGGATACGTCTTACGCAGCGTTACATCTGTGTAATGATAATACCTCGTTTAATTATTTAACGTCACACGAGCACGTACATTAAATACAGAAAGAGAGTGCCGCGCGGCTTGCGGTATTATACGCGACCTCGTTAGTCGTTGCCGCGCGGAGAATAATAAATGTTTATATCCGCCGGCGTCGCCAGTATTCCCGCCCGTGTTTCGCCCGAGTTCCCGTAAACGAGTCTCCCTCGGTAATCCCGTGGCGAATGTCATCTCGCACATGGAAATTTATGCGGACGCTGTATTACAGCCGCGCGCTCTCGTCTCCGGAGCTTTGTTCCCGTTTTGAACGCAATCTCGACGCGAAAAACAGAAACCGACGCAAAAATAAAGAATGAACGTACGTACACATATAGCGATAAGTTTATGTTTAAAGTTATAAGTTTATGTATAAGAATATAAATCAATTTTAGAAGGAATAAATCAATATTTAGAATATATGTGATATCAAAGGCAAAAAAATATCCATGTCTAATCGGTTGGCTCCTTCACCTTGTGCAATTATTTAGTTTATTTCTCGCGTGACGCTACTTGCTTCATCTACATAATTCAACACTATTGAACACTACGGTATATACGGTATATATTTTCAACTAGAATTAACTCAATGATGTACGAACGTACATCATACAGGTAAGCGTTCGCCCTTCGCCGCAAAAGGGTTGAAGGACGGCAATTTGTCTCTGCTAAAAGAGAGGAAAGCGAGCGGAGAAAGAGATGCGCAGGTTGTGGTGCACCTTTTACGTCGGGATACCGAATGTGGATACGAGATGCGGTTCGAGAGACCGGTCCAAGGGCCTCGGTCGAACACGCGAGAAGGGCGAAAAAGCAACGAATACGAGAGCAGAACGTAGTAGGCGTAGACGGAAGCGAGATGAGAAATACAGGGCTATACCGCCTTTTTCTCTCGCGGCAAGGACGCGTCTCCGGGTTTAGACACGCAGGACGTGTACTTAACGAAAAGGAGAGAAAAAGATTATCCTTGTGGTAGAGCGACACAAATCAGGAGCACGATGGAGGGAGAGAATAAATCGCCGAGAAGACAAATGCCACTGTGATCGTCCGCTAATTTATTACCGAGGATCGGAATGAAATCGGCGAGGAATCACGGCCGGGCGTTCGAAAAAAAGGCGCGGTTCTTCGCGGGAACAATGCGCCTTGGCGATTGTACGTGAGTGTGTACGTTCGCATGTGTGTGTGTGTGTGTGTGTGTGTGTGTGTGTGTGTGTGTACGCGCGCGCATCGGTAGCGGCAATTGCCGACGACCAGCGCGAGACGTGGTCGCGGAAGGCGGAGGAGAAATCCACAGGACGATAAAGACGATCGAGCAAAGATATGCCGGAGAGGGAGGGAAGAAGGGAGGAAGGGAAACGCACGTTCTCTAGCCGATCCTTTTCCCTGCAGACGCGAGGGATGACGAGAGAGGAGAGAAGAATCGGGCGAGTCCTCTCGGTGCCGGCGTCGCGCGATAGAGCGAGAGGCCGAATACGACAGAGGGAGAGGCGACAGGGCGCGGCGTGGCGCGGCGTGGCGCGGCACGGCCGCTACGATAGAGCGAGAGCCGACAGGCGCGGCGGCCGCTGCGATAGAACGAGAAGGAGAAGAGAGCTCGCTCGCTCGGCAGTCGGTTCCCACGGCTGCGCAGCATACCTCCACCTTCTCTCGCCTCTCTTTTCCCTTCTTCTCGGCCGTCGGGCCGAACCACCGCGCCGCACTCCGCGCCACTCCGTCGTTCCTCTCCTCGGGCCCGCGTGTGCTCCTCTTTCAATCTCTCTCTCTCTCTCTCTCTCTCCCCCTTTTTCTCTCGTTGTCGCTTCTCACTCCGACTCGCGCGCGCATACAGGCCGTCCTCTCTCTACCCAGCGATTCGCCTCCTCTTCTTGTCCGCTTCCTTTCTCTCTTTCTCTGTCGACTCGCGTTTCTTCACGTACAACAGGACGTAGCTGCAATCTCGTAGCGCGGGCGCGTATATATACGCGCGTATTAATCATCGCGGAAGACGGTCGCGTAGAGGAGCGAGGAGAGAGCGAGAGCGGTCTACATGTAAATGCATCGTGTCGGCGGCAGGGTGTCGTCGCTGGTTATCCGCGGTTTCCTCTTCCTCCTTTCGACGCGGCCTTTCGAAGGCGGCCACGAAAATTTCATCATCGTCGCCGCGGCCGTTGCGGAAACGCGTTATCTAATCCCCCCCCCCCGAAGCGCCCGTCGCTATGCGCCGGCCGGCGTGTTCAGGAATGAGAGAACGCGGTAAAAATAGACGAGTCACGGAAGGACATCGATACGCAGATGCGACAGTCGCGATGCAGTCGAGTTGTAAAATAAAATCCAACGTACGAACGAGAGACTGGAAGAAATCGCGGAATTCCGAAATCCTTCGGAATATTTTCTCACTTCAGATATATAATAGCGTGTTACCTGTACCGTGTTTCGAAATCGGAGAAACGCGTCTAAAGACTACGTGAATATTCCGAAAAACAACACTGGATAATTACTCGTAAGTGGAGCCGACTTGAATGGCTGCCGCCGCTCTGTTCCTTCCTCGTTCGCCGTAATGCGAACAAAAGTCACGCTTTCACGGGCCATTCTTAATGCGAAGCGATGCGGCCTGTTTTATTAATATACGCTTCGATCGGGCTCGCTATTACCGTTTCCAACTTTCGACTCTTATTGTAATCAATCATGAGTCGTTGCATAGAAAAATACTATTATTAATATGAGAAAACGTCAAGATTTTTTCTTTTAATAAGCCTATCGTTCTGTCGTTCGTATCGAGCGAGGATGCATCGCTCAAGGGACAGGCAGTAAGTCAGTCACTCAGTCAGTTAGTCAATAAGGTTCACCTACGCACGTGCATCAGCTGATGCGTACCTGCCCCGATGACCACGTGTTGAGGGATCGAGAGAAAGGGTAGAAGAAGATAGATACATGTTTTCGCAAGCTGTATTTTTACCTTGTCGTAAAGCGTAAAAGAAAAGAAAGGGGTCGGTCGAAGGAACGGCAGACGTAGGTAGTGAGACAACAGGAGTTTCGATCGAATTCAAGAGGGACTTTGTCATAAACAAAGATTCTTCATCTCTGCTCAATGGAGGAACTCTTTCCTCTTGAAGACGAAAATTTTTTTTTAATCTGAAATAACTAAATTCAATATTAATGACGAGCGCTCTGACGCGAAAATGATGCTGCGTGCCCCGATACGGCCTAACACACCTGTTTCACACACGCCACCGTGAAGAGCGCGACAATAACTAGTCTTAGGATAAAAACTCATTCTCGCTATTATCGCGCGAGACCCTTCCATTTAAGACCTCCTTTTCTTACAGCCAGGAAGAGGCATACGCGGGCGACAAAAGAGCAGCAGGAAACACGCCCCCCGGGTCTGGGAGAGGAAACGTATTAAGAAGTGTTTCCGCGTAAACGGCGCCCCTAGGCGACATCGTAATAAGAATCTGCGAGAGATGAGACCGGAAGCGCATCGGGGAAACGATGTGCCGGCCGTTACTCAATGTTCATCGACTCAACACTTTTACATTCTTGCGGAGTAAATTCAAGCCCGAACTCCATTGGTACTGCGGCGAAAGGGAACTTGCCAAGTTGTACCGTTACAAACGAACAGTGTATCGCTTCAATAACAGTTTGGTGGAGAATTCGTTCCTTTGAGAGAAGACATTTAGTTCGCAATATCCTCTCGCTATTATTATAAATATTTTTTTAATATTTTGACGGTTAAAAATATATTATTTAAAATTACAAAAATATTTAGATCTCGAAACAAAATTCTGTTGATGCGTAAAACGGGGCCCAAATTCCGCAATTTGTACTTTGTGACACGCACGTGAAAACAAAGCGCAAAA